CATTTTACTGGACTTCTGCACATGACATTAAAACTTGAAATCTAATAGAGATAGTTTAGTGTGTTGCTCATGTGAGATCGTGCACCATAAGGTAAACATACTGAAATGAGAACTAGATGGGCTACAGCAGGACTGGCTAAAGTGGGATTTGCTTGACAAGGTGAGGGGGATATAGAGAAGGGTAAACACTGTTCAGAACAGCTCAATCAGTAAATAGAAGTTATTGTAATCCAAAAGCATCCTCAGTGAGGCCAACGTTCCTTGAACACCGAGCACCGTCACTGAACATTTACATTTGTACATTTTAGTCATTTAGCAGACGCTCTTATCCAGAGCGACTTACAGTTAGTGAGTGCAATAATGCCCGTTTCAGATGATTCATCTGTTTCGCTTTTTCTCCCTCTCTGTCCTTGTTTCTGTAGCCGTGGAGCAGTCTGGGGGGAAGAGCATCGGTCCGGGGAAGACCAGGAGAAGTCCGCTACAGAGCCTCTACAACGGAGACCAGGTGACTAGCTTTAAAAAGGGCCCCATCATGCCTTGAGTGTGTGTGAACACTCACGGTTATATACTGTTACTGTGTTAGTGTTTCCAGATGAGTCACACACAGGAAATATCATTTGACAGAGTATTGATCTTGGAGAGCCACTTTGACTAATTTAATTTGCTCTACACATAGTTGATTTCTCAAACAATATTGTTTTTGGGTCGCCTTTGGTCTCTCAACTGAATTATTGCTGCTATACATTAAATGTTACATCATACTACATACCATCCACCTTCTTCCTTTACCTTCCTCAGAGGTAATGTCTTAAGCAATACTTCAAAGCTGAGTTGAGCTCATTTGATTTGACTTAAAAGTTAGGACTCAGGTCCTTAGTGGTTACTATAGAAACACTACCCCCTCTTCCTCAGAGAGACGAAGCTCTCTTTTCCAGCTCCAATATCCAATATCTCAGGAATCCAGTGTCAAAGACTCCAGCCACCCTAGTCATAGACTGTTCTCTCTGCTACCGCACGGCAAGTGGTACCGGAGCGCCAAGTCTAGGTCAAAAAGGCTTCTTAACAGCTTCTACCCCCAAGCCATAAGACTCCTGAACAGCTAATCATGGCTACCCAGACTATTTGCACTGCCCCCCCACCCCACCCCACCCCACCCCCTCTTTTACGCTGCTGCTACTCTGTTTATTATCTATGCATAGTCACTTTAACTCTACCCACATGTACAGTGGGGAAAAAAAGTATTTAGTCAGCCACCAATTGTGCAAGTTCTCCCACTTAAAAAGATGAGAGAGGCCTGTAATTTTCATCATAGGTACACGTCAACTATGACAGACAAATTGAGGGATTTTTAATGAATTTATTTGCAAATTATGGTGGAAAATAAGTATTTGGTCACCTACAAACAAGCAAGATTTCTGGCTCTCACAGACCTGTAACTTCTTATTTAAGAGGCTCCTCTGTCCTCCACTCGTTACCTGTATTAATGGCACCTGTTTGAACTTGTTATCAGTATAAAAGACACCTGTCCACAACCTCAAACAGTCACACTCCAAACTCCACTATGGCCAAGACCAAAGAGCTGTCAAAAGACACCAGAAACAAAATTGTAGACCTGCACCAGGCTGGGAAGACTGAATCTGCAAAAGGTAAGCAGCTTGGTTTGAAGAAATCAACTGTGGGAGCAATTATTAGGAAATGGAAGACATACAAGACCACTGATAATCTCCCTCGATCTGGGGCTCCAGGCAAGATCTCACCCCGTAGGGTCAAAATGATCACAAGAACGGTGAGCAAAAATCCCAGAACCACACGGGGGGACCTAGTGAATGACCTGCAGAGATCTGGGACCAAAGTAACAAAGCCTACCATCAGTAACACACTACGCCGCCAGGGACTCAAATCCTGCAGTGCGAGACGTGTCCCCCCTGCTTAAGCCAGTACATGTCCAGGCCCGTCTGAAGTTTGCTAGAGTGCATTTGGATGATCCAGAAGAGGATTGGGAGAATGTCATATGGTCAGATGAAACCAAAATATAACTTTTTGGTAAAAACTCAACTCGTCGTGTTTGGAGGACAAAGAATGCTGAGTTGCATCCAAAGAACACCATACCTACTGTGAAGCATGGGGGTGGAAACATCATGCTTTGGGGCTGTTTTTCTGCAAAGGGACCAGGACGACTGATCCGTGTAAAGGAAAGAATGAATGGGGCCATGTATCGTGAGATTTTGAGTGAAAACCTCCTTCCATCAGCAAGGGCATTGAAGATGAAACGTGGCTGGGTCTTTCAGCATGACAATGATCCCAAACACACCGCCCGGGCAACGAAGGAGTGGCTTCGTAAGAATCATTTCAAGGTCCTGGAGTGGCCTAGCCAGTCTCCAGATCTAAACCCCATAGAAAATCTTTGGAGGGAGTTGAAAGTCCGTGTTGCCCAGCGACAGTCCCAAAACATCACTGCTCTAGAGGAGATCTGCATGGAGGAATGGGCCAAAATACCAGCAACAGTGTGTGAAAACCTTGTGAAGACTTACAGAAAACGTTTGACCTGTGTCATTGCCAACAAAGGGTATATAACAAAGTATTGAGAAACTTTTGTTATTGACCAAATACTTATTTTCCACCATAATTAGCAAATAAATTCATAAAAAATCCTACAATGTGATTTTCTGGAGAAAAAAAATCTCATTTTGTCTGTCATAATTGACGTGTACCTATGATGAAAATTACAGGCCTCTCTCATCTTTTTAAGTGGGAGAACTTCCACAATTGGTGGCTGACTAAATACTTTTTTCCCCCACTGTACATATTACCTCAATGACCTCGACTAACCTGTACCCCCGCACATTGACTCTGTACTGGTACCCCCCTGTATATAGCCTCCCTACTGTTATGTTATTTTACTGCTGCTCTTTAATTATTTGCTATTTTTATTTTATACTTATCAGTTTTTTACTTAACACTTTATTTTTTATTTTCTTAAAACTGCATTGTTGGTTAAGGGCTTGTAAGTAAGCATTTCACTGTAAGGTTTACACCTGTTGTAGTCTGCGCATGTGACAAATAACATTTTATTTTATTTTATTTCATCTATCTCTCCCTCTCGCATCTATACTATCTCTCTCTATATCTATGCGTATCTCGTCTCTCGCTCTCTCTCTCTCTCTATCTATCGATCTATCATCTCTCTCTCTCTCTCTCGGTCTCATACTCATATTCTCTCTCTCTACTCTCTCTCCTCTCCTCTCTTCTCTCTTCTCTCTCTCTCTCTCTCTCTGTGACTAGCGCTGCAGCCTATCTACAGGGAAACACAGTGGTTGGCCTTGATGTTGCCAGGCCAATTCCGGTTAATCTAACTAATCTGACAAGATAGATTCAAACACTGACTGTTGGCCACAATTGTCTTAGTCAGAGGATGTGGCTAGACATTATCACTTGGATAGATGAAGATGTTATCACTTGGATAGATGAAGATGTTATCACTTGGATAGATGAAGACGTTATCACTTGGATAGATGAAGACGTTATCACTTGGATAGATGAAGACGTTATCACTTGGATAGATGAAGACGTTATCACTTGGATAGATGAAGATGTTATCACTTGGATAGATGAAGACGTTATCACTTGGATAGATGAAGACGTTATCACTTGGATAGATGAAGACGTTATCACTTGGATAGATGAAGACGTTATCACTTGGATAGATGAAGATGTTATCACTTGGATAGATGAAGAAGTTATCACTTGGATAGATGAAGAAGTTATCACTTGGATAGACGAAGATGTTATCACTTGGATAGACGAAGATGTTATCACTTGGATAGACAAATATGTTATCACTTGGATAGACAAAGATGTTATCACTTGGATAGACGTAAATGTTATCACTTGGATAGACGAAAATGTTATCACTTGAATAGATGAAGATGTTATCACTTGGATAGATGAATACGTTATCACTTGGATAGATGAAGACATTATCACTTGGATAGATGAAGACGTTATCACTTGGATAGATGAAGACGTTATCACTTGGATAGATGAAGATGTTATCACTTGGATAGATGAAGATGTTATCACTTGGATAGATGAAGATGTTATCACTTGGATAGATGAAGACGTTATCACTTGGATAGATGAAGACGTTATCACTTGGATAGATGAAGACGTTATCACTTGGATAGATGAAGACGTTATCACTTGGATAGATGAAGATGTTATCACTTGGATAGATGAAGACGTTATCACTTGGATAGATGAAGACGTTATCACTTGGATAGATGAAGATGTTATCACTTGGATAGATGAAGAAGTTATCACTTGGATAGATGAAGAAGTTATCACTTGGATAGACGAAGATGTTATCACTTGGATAGACGAAGATGTTATCACTTGGATAGACAAAGATGTTATCACTTGGATAGACAAAGATGTTATCACTTGGATAGACGTAAATGTTATCACTTGGATAGACGAAAATGTTATCACTTGAATAGATGAAGATGTTATCACTTGAATAGATGAAGATGTTATCACTTGGATAGATGAATACGTTATCACTTGGATAGATGAAGACGTTATCACTTGGATAGATGAAGATGTTATCACTTGGATAGATGAAGATGTTATCACTTGGATAGATGAAGACGTTATCACTTGGATAGATGAAGACGTTATCACTTGGATAGATGAAGATGTTATCACTTGGATAGACGAAGACGTTATCACTTGGATAGATGAAGATGTTATCACTTGGATAGATGAAGACGTTATCACTTGGATAGATGAAGATGTTATCACTTGGATAGATGAAGATGTTATCACTTGGATAGATGAAGATGTTATCACTTGGATAGATGAAGACGTTATCACTTGGATAGATGAAGACGTTATCACTTGGATAGATGAAGATGTTATCACTTGGATAGACGAAGACGTTATCACTTGGATAGATGAAGATGTTATCACTTGGATAGATGAAGACGTTATCACTTGGATAGATGAAGATGTTATCACTTAATTCTAAATGTGAGTATTGACCTTGTATGTTCCCTCCTTCTCTCTGTCTGTAGTTGGACTTGTCTGCTGCGCAGGCGTCTCTGCGCGGTCGGCGAGAGCTGCTGGAGGAGGCGTGTCTCACCCACACCAGGAAGCGCCGGGTGTTGACCCCAGACGACCTCCGCCACCTCATAGTGGACGATAAGCACGGTCTGCTGTACTGCTACGTCCCCAAGGTGGCTTGCACCAACTGGAAACGCGTCCTCATGGTCCTGACGGGGGACGGACGCTACCGTGAGCCCCTAGCCATCCCTGCCAACGAGGCCCACGTGGCGGGCAACCTTCGCACGCTGTCAGAGTACTCCACTGGCGAGATCAACCACCGCCTCCGCAGCTACCTGAAGTTCATCTTTGTTCGGGAGCCCTTTGAGAGGCTGGTGTCGGCCTACCGCAACAAGTTCACCCGTAGCTACAACACGGCCTTCCACAAGCGCTACGGCACCAAGATCATCCGCCGGCATAGGCCCGACCCCGAGCCGGAGGCGTTGGAGCAGGGCAACGACGTCTCCTTCCAGGAGTTTGTGTACTACCTGGTGGATCCCCGCACACAGAGAGAGGAGCCCTTCAACGAGCACTGGGAGCGGGTCCACTCACTGTGCCACCCCTGCCTCATCCACTACGACGTGGTGGGGAAGTATGAGACTCTGGAGCAGGACTCCCGCTCTGTGCTGCGGCTGGCCGGCGCTGACGGGGAGGTCCACTTCCCCACCTCAGGCAAGAGTACCAGGACCAACGGGGACATGACGGCTCAGTTCTTCCACAACATCAGCCCCTTCTACCAGAAGAAGCTGTACAACCTCTACCGCATGGACTTCCTGCTGTTCAACTACTCCAACCCAGAGTACTTGAAGTTTAGGTGAGGGGGGCTCTCTCCATGTCAACTGTGATTTATTAATCAATCTGTTTGGGTCTGTCATTTTTAATCAATCTGGGTGGGTACAGCTTGTAACTGATGTTCAGATGTTATTGCCAGTGGGGGGAATCCCTGCATTGTTAGATGTAAGAACTCTATTGCCATGGGTGACTTTGGGGGCACTGTATTTTGCTAGTACTCCTCATGTGGCCTATATAAGATAGAAGCAGGTTCTTCTTATACAAATCAATGTGTTGAGGGTTGTGTTTATCCCAGAATCCCTCTCCTATACCTTCCTCTTTATTTATACAGTTGTATTAGTATTTATTTGGACTATAGACTGAGTCATGGACACTTGAGCGAATTGTGGGAGAACATTCAATTGATGCATTTCTCTCTGCTTGCACATAAAGCATGTTTCCTTGGCACATCTTATGTAGCCAAAATTTTCCTCTGGGGACAAAAAAAACGACTTACATAAACCACCAAACAAAAGAAAGCATAGTCCACAAATAAAAAATAAAAAAAGCAAACCAAGAAAAAGCTGCCATTTACTCAAAGAAGTATGAAGTTTGCAAAGACCCAATGTGAATAAATGTTTTAAACCAATTTAAATGAAAAGGAGGTGATAAATCTAACATGGTGGGAACATTTTATTAATAACCCCCGAAGTCCTCCTACTGTTCCATGTAACTTTAATTCTTAAATAATTGCCTCGATCTTGGTGGCTTTCAAGCCACCTGTTCGTTGATGTTATGTAAGCCACAGTTTGATAGTAAAAATGTAGTGATAAACAGTGTATGCTGGATATAGGAAGCCTGGCAGGCATGATGACTTCAGATAGGGAGTTAATGACAGAAATGCCACATGTTCCGTTTGGAAGAGTCACCTCTTTATTTAGCTCACGGCAGACTGAGCAAACAGTGCATAGCTGTGGTTTGGTCCAAGGCTCTCCCTTCGTCAGAGAGCTCCTTGTTGAACTGTGGACAGCCACGTAGGGCTAACTACCTATCTACACGGGCACTACAGGTTAAAACCAGGTAAGCCTTCTGGTAAAAGACAAATATTCCATTTAATTTACACAATGCTAACAAGTGCAATATTTTTCTTGACTTGATATGAACAGTATGTAAAGAAATGTAATTTCACGTTCATGCCTGTTGATGTTGTGCCTCAAACAGTTTGTCCGTGAAAACGGTATATTTACCACGCTGGCAAATACTGCTACAACAACATTCATTTGCATCAATTGATGCTATAGGCCAGGGTTACCCAACTGGTTGCCCGTGAGCCGAATTTGGCCCACGGGTGATTTTATTTGGCTCCCCAAGTTTTCTGAGCAAAAAAATAATAATAGTTTAAATAAAATAATATAAATAATTTTCTGGACACAAAAAACGGTAAAAAGCAAATCAGCTAAGTGATTTTAATTTAGGAAATCTGTTCCCAAGTATTTCCACGCATAGTAGAGAGATACATGTGATCGTATACAAATGTAAACAAGGTTTGAAATTATTATGTTTTAGTCAAATATTATATCAGTTTGGGCTTCTTGCGGTCAACTTCTAGTCTACAAATTATTTGTAATTATGTTCCGGCCCCCTGACCATCCGCTCAAATAAAGATCGCCCAACGGCTGAATCTAGTTGATGATCCCAGCTTATAGGCCATGTGTTGAGGTAGCAGTGGTGTGGAGGACATGTTCTTGTGTCGGAAACAACCAAATACTTTACAACTTTTCAAATTGTTGCTTTGAAATAGTAGTAGACTCTCTTCTGAATGAATTTTCTCCTAATGTTAACGAGCCATAATGAAGTTGTTTACAGCCTGTTTCAGACAAACACCCGTAGACTGTGAATAATGTCTGGAGAGAACACAGGTGTCAACCAATAGAGTTGCCTCAGTTCATGAAGTGCTGTAGAAAAGCCAGACACAACATATCACCGTTGTTATCAAGTGGTCTGGAAGACCTGGTATTTAGTCTACAGAGAAGTGTGTATTTATTATAGCAGCACTACAGTCTGGTACCTTTTCTCTTAGTGTTGTCTGATATGAGAGTACTCTTATGTTTACTTTGCAAATTGTATTTTATAGTAATAATATCCACCATTTAATATAAATTATATTTTTTACACTAATTTCTCAACAACCAAGCACACAGTAGACAATGATGTCATCGTGTATTGTCATTACCGGTTATACTTCAAAACCGTCATAGGAGTTTCCTTTTTTTTCCCCGTTATGAATGACTGTTGTTCTGTGACAGAAATCTAGATTGAGGCTATGAAACTATTGTGAAGGAATTAAAGTTTGCTCCACTTTTGAAAAGTACAAAGCCCAATCTGCAATTTCTGCATGACTCATTCATTGGAGAACATTTGACACCTGCTTTAAAAAGCCCTCTGTGATCATTGTGTGATACCAACTTACTGTGAAATAATACCAACAAACTAGCTGGTACAGACCAGTGGTAAGATGTAAACCAATGGGACTGACTAACTGGGACACAGGGAGAGCTGAGAGAGAAAGATGACAGTTTGTGGTCACATACCTGTTTAGCATTTTTTATTACAATGGAACTGACCAGAGCCACAGACAAAAATTGATGCTTGTTGTACATTTATCAAGTATTTGATATCATCATTTGTAAATGTCTATGAAAGGTTATTTCAATAATACATGAGTTCTGCAATTGTGTAGAAAAAGGCATGTTTAGATAACCAATGAGCAGGCAGTGAGGACATCACAGTTGTAACGTACAGAAGGCATGTGAATGGGAACATTGCAATGTTTGAAATAAAACTACCTTTTCTTTAAATTGATATTTGTGATTATACAAATCACAACCGACATGTAACTTATGCATTCAAGATTGCTGCTGAACATTAAGATGTGAAAAACATTAGTGCAACCTAAACTTTATCAGGCATTTTGCAATAATATTGTTGCTCCTGTCCTACATCTTAAGCTGATTTTAGAACAGTTCCAACGCTTTGCCCTTACCGCATTTCACATTACTGATGATATGCCAATGGTAACTTCATTCAAGATTCATTGTGTTTTGAAATCTCCTTTAAAAACTCATTTAACTAAACACTGTGACAGCTGCTCTAAGAATAGCACTAATAAATACTGATGTCCTTCAAATACGTTCCATCATTGATATATTCACAGGCCAAGTTCTCTTCCACACCCTACTGTTTCAATGGGTGCAGCAGTTTCAAGCTAAGCCTTGGTGGTGATGTATGAAGGTCTTCAACAGAAGGTTCCAGTGGTTACCAGGCCACTGGAACCACTGGAATCCAGTCTATGATGAGAGGGATATTTCCAAGCCCCACTCTGCATCCTGCATCCAGAAATACTGTAAACAAGTTCAAATTAGTATTCATTCACCAACATACAATGCAACCATTCGTGATCAATAACCGTTCCCTAATGACAGAAAAGTTCAATTTAGTGTGCTGAGTTTGCCCCATCATCCATACCTTCTGAGGTTTTAAACTGCTGAGTGAGTGTGCATTCAGTGAGTCACATTGCGATCCCCATGCCCAGTAGAGTAACTAACTCCCCTCCCCTCCAGTGGTGAAGTCAGAGGCGAGGCAGGACAGGGAGACAATACAGAACCCTGGTCTGGGAAGGCACAGCACAGTGAGGTCCGTAGGAGACCGATAACCCCCTTGCACTCAGAGTCCCAGCCCCTCCATGAGTGAGACAGAGCGGAAGACCAGAGCCTGGAAGCGGGTCCCCAGCAGGTCTCCCAGGGCTTTCAGGTAGGGGACGGAGAAGTTGTCTGGGTCCAGACTCCTCCTCCACATCCAATGGACTATCAGATCAGCCACACAGAGAAGGATGCCCACCTGGTGGAACATCACAATCAATCAATCAATCACACAGCCGATCTGAATGAGGTCCTTATAAGTGAGTAAAGGCCTGAATCAGACTTTAGGGAATGCACGTCATTCCTACTCACCCCTTTCTTACACACTTCTCAGCAGTTGGTGTTCAGACTTATCTTATGCAGGTGTGTACTGGGCTTTGCAGGCGTGGTTTCCTTGCGCACACTGAATAAATGTAATTCAACTGCTGAAAACCTTCCCACTTGCTGGCCAACAGATTTTCTTGTGCCGTTTGCATTCAATAGGGTTTTCAGTACGTTCATCCTAAGCCATCCCTTTAAATACGGTGTACCTTTAATTAGAATTTTGTCAACAGACTCACTAGAATACATGGAGAGAATGGGGTCAGAATATAGGGATCAATGAAAGAAAGTCATCTAAATATATGCATATTCGTCTCAGTTTCAGCACCAACTGGTAGATTTAAAAATGCTCTGATCTTGTAGATTATTTAGGCACATTTTAGGGTTAGGAAAGTATGTATGAATCATAAAAACAGGGTTGGAGAGCCTTTACGCACAAACTATATTGATTAATCAAAAATACTGTGATTTGATTCATCCTGAAAGTTGCCTTATTCAAGTTCAATGCATGAAATATTGGAAGGTGGAAAAAAAGTGTAAAATAGGGGTTGAACAACAGTCCTATGAATCTACCCTAACCATGGAACTGTATGACAACGGTCCAGTCGTTGTGAACCGTGTGCCAGGCTCCAGGTTTAAACTGCTATGTGTGGTCTGAGTTTCAAATTATCCTAGCCTAATGCTAGCGACCCTTAGCAACAACGACACGGACAGGATAAAGGAAAGAAAGTTCAACGGAATGGAATGATGCAAAATGTAAGCTACAAATTGAAGGAAACTAACACTAAAGTGACCGTTTTATAAATGTATGTGGGTAATTACTGACGGTGGCTCTCGATAGTGGCTAATATTTAACATGATACAAATTGTAAAATAAAACTGAGAAAAGCCTGGGTCTCCAAATTTCATCCCTGCAAATTATGAGGACATATCATACAAATTTGGAATAACGGCACAGCTATTTATAGCCTGCTTCACAGTGGAAATACATGTCATGTTGATATGATTTTCAGTTTGCTTCCATATGACTGGTTTCACATTCGTCTCCAGGGATCATAATGAAAAATCATGTAAAACAATTGTTATGTGTATTTACAATTCCCTTCTCCAAATGGATTACTCATTTACCTAGCTCTTATCGATTTATAAATTATATCAAAAAAATTAAAGGTTGATGCTTTTCCCACTTGGAACCGGCAGGTTCATTCGACATTCATGGTTTCCTTGCGTGTAAAGATGGTGGAATTATGAGGGAATTAAATCAAGATCCAAATACGGCATATCTGTAGACACACTTCCGCTACGCCTTCATTTATTTGATCTCCACCCAGACGAACAGTGTCTAAAGGGAATTACACTCCATTTACGTGCTCTTAACTCGGGTCGGAATTCCCCCCTTAGTCCTTATAGGTCTATAAGTCTATAATGAGAAGTCCTTATAAGTCTGTAGGAGACTTGACCAAACTCCATCAGTGGACCAGTGACTGAGGTGGCAGGGCATACCTGGAGGAGGGCGGCACACAGGTAGCAGATGATGAAGGTGACTGTGAGGTCAGTGTGGCCTCCTGGAGCAGAGAGATTAAGGTGACTGTGAGGTCAGTATGGCCTCCTGGAGCAGAGAGATTAAGGAGACTGTGAGGTCAGTATGGCCTCCTGGAGCAGAGAGATTAAGGTGACTGTGAGGTCAGTGTGGCCTCCTGGAGCAGAGAGATGAAGGTAACTGTGAGGTCAGTGTGGCCTCCTGGAGCAGAGAGATGAATGAGACAGTGAGGGCAGTGTGGCCTCCTGGAGCAGAGAGATGAAGGTAACTGTGAGGTCAGTGTGGCCTCCTGGAGCAGAGAGATGAATGAGACAGTGAGGGCAGTGTGGCCTCCTGGAGCAGAGAGATGAAGGTAACTGTGAGGTCAGTGTGGCCTCCTGGAGCAGAGAGATGAAGGTAACTGTGAGGTCAGTGTGGCCTCCTGGATCAGAGAGATGGTAGAGAACACCAGGTGACCAGGCACCACCAGTAGGAACAACACCATCGCTGACTTGGAGTTCACACCTGGAGAGACAGAGGCAACTAATGGATACTGCAGGTAGCTTTTCTCTCGTTAGTTAAGCACTGGCTGAAAAGTACATCTGTACAAATCCTATGAGAAAATCAAGAGGATAAATAGAAGAGAAATACCAAGAGTGGTTCCAAAGAGTAGAGTTCCTATTTGCTAAATCCCAAAGAGAGAGGAAGTCCCAGGCATATCTTATTTTTATTTTTAAAGGCATACAGTATCTACGTGCAATCCCACGGACAGCCATGACCCTCTATAGAAAGACAGTGGACGAGCCTTACCTGAGAAGAAGAAGGTGGTGAAGGGGTTGGGCCAGTGCCGTCTTATCTTCTAGGGCAGGGGTGTCAAACTCATTTTAGCTCAGGTGCCACATGGAGGAAAATCTATTCCCAAGTGGGCCGGACCGGAAAAATCATGGTATATATAACTTAAAAACAACAACTTCAGATTGTTTTCTTTGTTTTAATACGATCAACATACAACATAAAGCTGGAGCCTGAGGACAGTGTGTCCAAAATAGTACAAGCACAACATCACTATTAATCATAAAACACGTCAAGTTTATTTGAAAATTCTAAAGAAAAAGAACACACAAACACACAATGCCTCAGTGATTAACAGAACTGTTTCACAGATCACAGAACTATATCAGGGTGTCATTTCTCAGGCAGAAATGTAGATAAAAATAATGAAATCCTGTTCCCCAAACAAGTGCAAGAACCACAGAGTCAAGAATAGGTTAAATATACAAATAAAATAAAATCAATTAAAAACAATAGCACATCAACATAAAAACATATAAACATAAAGCTGGAGCCTGAGGACAGTGTCCAAAAGCACAACATCACTATTAATCATAAAACACCAAGTTATTTGAAAGTTCTGAGGACAAAGAACACACAATGCCTCAGTGATTCACAGAAGTATATCACAGATCACAGAACTATATCAGGGTGTCATTTCTCAGGCAGAAATGTAGATAAAAATAATGAAATCCTGTTCCCTAAACAAGTGCAAGAACCACAGAGTCAAGAATAGGTTAAATATACAAATAAAATAAAATCAATTAAAAACAATAGCACATCAACATAAAAACATATAAACATAAATCTGAAAGCGTTGCTCAAACTCCCGTAACAATCCAGTTATTTTATCTTTGAACCGCTTCATGTCTGCCACATGTTGGGTCGCGCACACATTTTTCAGACAGGGGAAGTGAGCTGCATCACCACCGGCAAGTTGCGTCTCCCACAATGACAGCTTCAACTTGAAAGAACGTATGCTGTCATAATACTGCGTGACAACTTTGTTGCGCCCTTGCAGCTGTTTGTTCAAGTTATTCAGGTGCTCTGTAACATCCACCATAAATGCAAGGTCCGGCATCCATTCTGCGGAATGAAATTCTAACACTGGTTTGCCCTTTTCTTCCATGAACTGTTCAATTTCTTCTCGTAAATCAAAGAAACGCCTCAGCACAGCACCTCGGCTTAACCATCTTACCTCAGTGTGGTATGGCAGGCCATAGATGTGGTCTTTCTCTCTGAGAAGGCTGTCAAACTGACGGTGATTCAGGCTTCTGGATCGGATGAAATTAACAGTTTGGATGACCACCTTCATGACGTTATCCATCTTTAATGACTTGCAACACAAAGCCTCCTGGTGCAAAATACAGTGAAAAGTCAAAAAATCACGTCCTCCATTTGCAGATTGCACTTTCTCTCTGAACTTTGTCACAACGCCTGCTTTTTTCCCGATCATTGAGGGCACACCATCTGTAGCCAGGCTGACAGCGCAGGACCAGTCCACTCCGACCCTGTCCAGCGCGCCGACGAGTGCGGTAAAAATATCAGCTGCTGTCGTTGTATCTGTCATCGGCACCAACTCCACGAACTCCTCGGTGACGGTCAATGTGTCATCAACTCCGCGGATGAAAAAATGGCCAGTTGTGCAACATCTGTAATGTCCGTGCTTTCATCAATTGCAACCGAAAACGCAATAAATGACTTTACTTTTTGCTTCAACTGGCTGTCCAAATCCACTGAAAGATCGGAAATCCTGTCTGCAACTGTGTTTCTTGTCAGGCTGATATTTGCAAAAGCCTGCCGCTTTTCAGGGCACACAATCTCCGCTGCCTTCATCATGCATGTTTTTACAAATTCACCCTCACTAAATGGTTTTGAAGCCACTGCGATTTCATTAGCAATGAGGTAGCTAGCTTTCACTGCAGCGTCACTGATGTCTCGGCTGTGAGTAAACACAGACTGCTGTTTCTTCAGACCCGCCAACAGTTCATTCACCTTCTCTCATCTCCGCTGTCCTTGAAAGTTGTCATATTTGTCGGCATGAAGACTCACATAGTGGCGACGAAGGTTATATTCTTTCAGCACTGCAACATGCTCTGAACACACCAAACATACAGCTTTCCCATTCAATTCTGTGATTAAATAGGATGACCATTTTTCTTGGAACACTCTGCACTCTGCGTCCACTTTTCTCTTTTTTGACAGAGACATATTGGGGCAATGAGGGTGCCAAAGCACATAATGTTAAAAGTAGAAGCCGTAATAAATATTGCAGGCAAAACAAAGTAGCTCATTGGCTGCACGTGCTTGACCTACTTGCTCTGCCCCAGTATAAACAGTTTGCTTGCTTAACACAATTGATATTGCGCCATCCAGTGGACGCAATTGGAACAGCAGTTTATTTTATTGAAAAATTGCAGCGCATTTTTATACTAAAATTTCCCCCCAAAATCATCTCGCGGGCCGGATTAAACCCGTTTGCGGGCCTGATCCGGCCCGCGGGCCGTATGTTTGACACCCCTGTTCTAGGGCCTTCAAACTCAACTCTCAACTAATTTTTTCATTGTTCCCCTCTAATCAGGAACGGATTTAGGCCTGGGACACCAGGTGTGTGCAATTAATTATGAGGTAGAACAGAAAACCAGCAGGCTCCGGACCTCATAGGGTAAGAGTTGAATACTCCTCTTCTAGGGTAAGACTCCAGGTACGCTCCAGAAGCACAGGTAGGTAGAGATCCGACTGGCCTGGATAGGCACCAAGTTCCCTCCGACACCTGAGAGGAAGCACCAAGAAATGCATGGAAAGAGTATCACCCACACAAGTCTCATATTATATAGTCATATGCTTTCCCTTGAAATGTACATCTCTGTTCTGTAAAACACATATGTTGCCCACCATATGCTTTTGACATTATAAGGATATACTCTTAGAAATGTTAGACTGATGTATTAATTCCACATTGACAGATTCCAGTTTGTGGTCTTGGAATGGAGGAACTCAAATAAAACTTCTTACTTATTTGGAAACATTTACAATCCAAAACACTGTTTTTGTCATATCTTAATCAAAACCCAATACAGCTGTGCATCTCAGACTTGACGAGACTCGAGGGGACAGTGGTAAAACACAAAGTGCTGCGTTATAGTCATAGAACCAGGAGAGGGAAATTGAAACCAGATTGGCCAATGTTAACATTCACTGCATGCGATATTTCACAGAGGTCCAATGGTTATCCAATGCACTGCCAATATCAGCCTGGGTCACTGCCATTTGTGGCTAAGAACATCTGGCTGTGTGCTCTTAAACAGGCTCACATGGAAAGGATCCCTAAGCATGTGTCTCTTAAACAGGCTCATTCTGAAAGGATCCCTCAGCATGTGTCTCTTAAACAGGCTCATTCTGAAAGGATCCCTCAGCATGTGTCTCTTAAACAGGCTCATATGGAAAGGATCCCTCAGCATGTGTCTCTTAAACAGGCTCATTCTGAAAGGATCCCGCAGCACGTGTCTCTTAAACAGGCTCATTTTGAAAGGATCCCTCAGCATGTGTCTCTTAAACAGGCTCATTTTGAAAGGATCCCTCAGCATGTGTCTCTTAAACAGGCTCATTCTGAAAGGATCCCTCAGCATGCATCTCTTAAACAGGCTCATCTTGAAAGGATCCCTCAGCATGCGTCCCTTAAACAGGCTCATTTTGAAAGGATCCCTCAGCATGTGTCTCTTAAACAGGCTCCTTTTGAAAGGATCTCTCAGCATGTGCCATTTAAAGACAGCTAACTGACTCTCAGCCAGATGCGATACTCTCTCAGTCTCTCTGACAGTGGAACCTCTCTCCCCAGCATCATCTTCACACAGAGGAAGAGAGTCATGCATGTCCCATGGTACAGTTAATAACTCACTCATGATTAGTCCACTCCCCAGTGATGACCGGTGTAAAGACAGCCATTCCCTAACAGTCTTGTCCAAAATGAGTCCCCCGAAACTGAACAAGGTCATAATGAAATACACCAGTCACACATCTACTGATCAGATACATGTATTGAATTAGTAAGGTATCCTGTGTGTCGTACCCATAGAAATAGTTGATAGTTCTTTGTATTTAAAAACGAGTCTATTTAAGTCTATGGTCGTACCTGCTGATGGACATGGCTACAATGACAGGCTGCTAGCTAGACATGAGGAAGAACACAGGTACCAGACGCAGGTACCAGACGTCTACACAGAGAAAACACAGGTTAGAATAGTCTCCAATAAATACAGCGTTATACCACTATCCCACACATACAGAACACAATTCATCTGACATAAGAGCACATCCGAACTTGCATTGAAATTAATCAAGATATTTCCCCAACATGTTTGATATTCATAAGATTTTAAAGCCATTTTACTTCTGCATGTACACATTGTGCTTTGTAAAAGTAGCTAATTGTAGTCAGTGCTGACAACAGGTAACAGATGAGTGGGAATTTAACTGATGCTGACCTCTGCTGGTTCTGGATATTACTACCACAAAGTGGAGGTCTTAATTGGCTTAAATAGTTATTTACCCAGATACATGCACTGCACCAACTTTATTAATTGTTTAATTACTGATTTCTAAATCAAAGTTTAATTAAACCCTTATAATAAAGCCTTACCGCAATAGTGGTAGAGTGTAGTACTGACTCCAGCCAGCAGGGACAGTGTGATCAGATCTCCCAGACTGGCAGCGATGGGCTTGGCCACATTGTCTGGATTGATGCCAATGATCACCCTGATCATCACCAGACCTATGGAGGGAGGGAGCGAGAGAGAGGGGGAAGGATGGAGAGGGGAAGTGAGGTTGAGAGAGAGAGGTATGGAGAAGAGAGGGAGAGAGAGGGAGGTAGGGGAGCAAACCGTAACAGATACTACCATCAAGACACTTGGCATCTCAATCCAATAAAAACAATCTCAGGGTGAACTCACCTAGAGACAGTGCTGCCATGAATGCAGTGATGGTGATGCTGGCACTGACTACAGCAGCCTGGTCCAGCTCTACCACACCTCTAGACATGGAACCCAGTGCTATGGCTGACACTGCAGCCAGGAAGCCCACTACCGAGGCCTGAACCTGGGGAGAGAATGGACCTTCACAACCCCTGGGTCCATCTATCCATCACATCTACTGTACCTTATGGGCTTAGCATACCTACATTATCATGCCTTGGATAATGTGTGACCAAGGGCTATCTTGACCTCTTCCTAACCCTGGACTAGTCCAACACCTGTTTTTACTGGGATCCGTTTCTCCAGTAAAGGTCAAGTTAGCCACGGCCTTCAGTTAGTGTTGCTATCTGTCTTTCAGGCTGGGAAATGAAAAGGAGAAGTTGTGGCGTGTGGCAGGTAGCCTAGTGGTTAAGAGCGTTGGGCCGGTAACCGAAAGGCAACTGGTTTGAATCCCTAAGCCGACTAGGTGATAAATCTGTCGATGTGCCCTTTAGCAAGGCACTTAACCCGAATTGCTCCTGTAAGTCACTCTGGATAGGAACGTCTGCTAAATGACTAAACATTTAAAATGCTGTGGAAGACTTAGCAGTATGAATGTCTCTGCCTGCCTGTCTCCCTCCCAACAGTAAATTAATACAAAGGACTACACTCATTATTTAATATAATGATGTCATGACATATTGGATATGACCTGAATGAGAGCCAGGTTGCTGCACACCATCTTCCACTGATGCTTGGGGTCATCCAGCTGGCCAGTGTTAGCCTAAGCAATAGAGATCATCAGTACAACATACACCAACATCAAACTTTGGCTTTTCAACAAGAGCGTGGGAACATGTATTTCTTTAGACTGATACTAACCCCTAGGAGTTAACAAGAGAGCATAAAGAGACCAGGCTACTTTGGCTAATACTACGTCTACAATAGGATGCTGAAGATGTGGACTCACTGCAGTGGAGAGGCGAGCAGTCAAGGTCATCTCCAGGTTTCCCTTCAGCCTCACCAGAGCTGGGACCAGGATGAAGATCTCTGTGATGACACTTCCCAGTGCTGCAACACACAGAGATCATGTCAACTGTCACCCCTCAGCCGGACTCCGACAGGAAAAAACACGTATACATTTTTACATTTTAGTCATTTAGCAGACGCTCTTCTCCAGAGCGACTTACAGTTAGTGCATACATTTTTCATACTGGCTCCCCGTGGGAATTGACCCTGGCGTTGCAAGCGCCATGCTCTACCAACTGAGCTACAGGAGGGCACTGTATTTGTATACTGTCCTCAAATACAGCCATCATCCCAAAGCTCAACAATCATCTAAGTGTCCCAGTTCCTTCTGCCTCCCCTGGCGGACAATCCAGAACCTTAGCTCCAGCTCAGAACTTTGTCTCTCTCGCTACCAGCCTTATTCATCAATCCTCCCTCTGTCACCCACCTGTCCATTCTCTCTCTATTCAATTAGAGCCCACCTGGTTAAATAAAGGTGAAATAATTTTTTTATAAATAGAGCCTCCCCAGACCACCCTTTCCTCCCCAGATCTGATCTGTATGGTAATGGAAGGAGGAGAGAGGATATAAGAGAGAACATATAAACAGAAACCATGGTGGATGATTTATTATCCAACCAACTGATGTGCCTCTGAGGAAATGTAAGCCGTGACGACTCCCCTGTTTCAAGTCATTGTCCATCTTTCCAACGCCCCGGTTACTAGAATGTCCAGAGAGTTTCAAACAGGATAAAACCAGGCCCTCATATGATCTATCAGGGCTGGAAGTGTTCCTGTCCATGTTGGCCTTAAATGATCTGACCATTTTCATTACCTTCACTCTTCATCAAATAGGCATATAATAGGTTATACAAAAGCAAGTGAGACTGAAATCTATAATGAACACTAAAAATAGCAGACTCATCCTTGAATAGAGCAGCATGAACGGATGCTTAATGAAAGCCAGTGACGTACCAGTGACGGAAGATGCAGAAGACAGAAGAATGCCAATAAATGTTTTGAGGTTATCCTACCCACCCACACCCCACCACATCATACCATACCACACCACATCCCCTCCCACCATACAATACCACATCTCATCCCACCACAGCACACCATATCCCACCACACCACCATATCCCACCACACCCCATCCCACCCCACCACAAAGTGATCACAAACTTAAAAGATGATTAGAAACAGAAGTAGTGGATGGCAGGAAGTCTGTCCCCTAGATCCATACTTGTACAATGTCCACGATGACGCCAGCGGAGACCATTCCCAGTCCAGCCACCAGGTATGGCAGTAGTACCTGGGCTGCGATCTGCCAGGAGCTCTCAGGCAGGAAGCCATGGGCAGAGCGGGTCAGCTTACAGGTGAAGCCACGCAACTTCTTCCCCTGGTAGCACAGCACCAGTTCAAGCACAGTCACCATCATGGTTGCATACACTTACCCCATTACCCAAACTAAGGATTGAAGAGTAGGGATGAAGGGATGTGGGGTGGACAGTGACACAGCCTGGGATCCACAGACAGCCACGTTCCTTTGCCAGTCAGCTAGTGTCTCTGGTGCCTACCTCACAGCTGGGAGCTTGACTTTACTACTAGTGTTGCTTAAAGACGTAACAATGGACCCTTGTGCTGAAAAGTGGGTGAACTTACAGTGAGGGAAAAAAGTATTTGATCCCCTGCTGATTTTGTACGTTTGCCCACTGACAAAGAAATGATCAGTCTATAATTTTTATGGTAGGTTTATTTGAACAGTGAGAGACAGAATAACAACAACAAAATCCAGAAAAACGCATGTCAAAAATGTTATAAATTTATTTGCATTTTAATGAGGGAAATAAGTATTTGACCCCCTCTCAATCAGAAAGATTTCTGGGTCCCAGGTGTCTTTTATACAGGTAACGAGCTGAGATTAGGAGCACACTCTTAAAGGGAGTGCTCCTAATCTCAGCTTGTTACCTGTATAAAAGACACCTGTTCACAGAAGCAATCAATCAATCAGATTCCAAACTCTCCACCATGGCCAAGACCAAAGAGCTCTCCAAGGATGTCAGGGACAAGATTGTAGACCTACACAAGGCTGGAATGGGCTACAAGACCATCGCCAAGCAGCTTGGTGAGAAGGTGACAACAGTTGGTGCGATTATTCGCAAATGGAAGAAACAGAAAATAACTGTCAATCTCCCTCGGCCTGGGGCTCCATGCATGATCTCACATCGTGGAGTTGCAATGATCATGAGAACGGTGAGGAATCAGCCCAGAACTACACAGGAGGATCTTGTCAATGATCTCAAGGCAGCCGGGACCATAGTCACCAAGAAAACAAATGGTAACACACTACGCCGTGAAGGACTGAAATCCTGCAGCGCCCGCAATGTCCCCCTGCTCAAGAAAGCACATATACAGGCCCGTCTGAAGTTTGCCAATGAACATCTGAATGATTCAGAGGAGAACTGGGTGAAAGTGTTGTGGTCAGATGAGACCAAAATCGAGCTCTTTGGCATCAACTCAACTCGCCGTGTTTGGAGGAGGAGGAATGCTGCCTATGACCCTAAGAACATCATCCCCACCGTCAAACATGGAGGTGGAATCATTATGCTTTGGGGGTGTTTTTCTGGTAAAGGGGACAGGACAACTTCACTGCATCAAAGGGACAATGGACGGGGCCATGTACCATCAAATCTTGGGTGAGAACCTCCTTCCCTCAGCCAGGGCATTGAAAATGGGTCGTGATGGGTATTCTAGCATGACAATGACCCAAAACACACGGCCAAGGCAACAAAGGAGTGGCTCAAGAAGAAGCACATTAAGGTCCTGGAGTGGCCTAGCCAGTCTCCAGACCTTAATCCCATAGAAAATCTGTGGAGGGAGCTGAAGGTTCGAGTTGCCAAACGTCAGCCTCGAAACCTTAATGACTTGGAGAAGATCTGCAAAGAGGAGTGGAACAAAATCCCTCCTGAGATGTGTGCAAACCTGGAGGCCAACTACAAGAAACGTCTGACCTCTGTGATTGCCAACAAGGGTTTTGCCACCAAGTACTAAGTCATGTTTTGCAGAGGGGTCAAATACTTATTTCCCTCATTAAAATGCAAATCAATTTATAACATTTTTGACATGCGTTTTTCTGGATTTTGTTGTTGTTATTCTGTCTCTCACTGTTCAAATAAACCTACCATTAAAATTATAGACTGATCATGTCTTTGTCAGTGGGCAAACGTACAAAATCAGCAGGGGATCAAATACTTTTTTCCCTCACTGTAAGTGGGTGAACACGTTGTTCTTCTGCCGCCCTAGCCATATCCTTGACCTTAGAAGACTCCTTTTCCCCAGAAGAAATTAGATAGAACGGAACAAACTCAGAAAACCACAACAGTTGTGTTGTCCTGTGATGAATCAGTCCTGGTGAGGGGTCCAGACGTCACTAGTGATCACCCTCTCGGTCATGTGATGCTACCACAGCTGTTGACCACACTGCTAACAGGCTCTATCTTACTGGCTCACAAACTACTAAGCTTTATCAAGAGGCTTTCACTCAATCCCCGGTCATTGACTCAGTACTCGGTACCTCCTGTATATAGCCTCGTTATTGTTATTTTGTTGTTGCTCTTTTATTTTTAACTTTATTTAGTAAATATTGTCTTTACTCTTATTTTTCTTAAAACTGCATTGTTGGTTAAGGGCTGTAAGGAAGCATTTCACTGTAAGGTCTACACCTGTTGTATTCGGCGCATGTGACAAATTAAAATGTGATTTGAGAATAGAAAGAGGGGGCAGGTACAGTTGATCCATTAGATGCTCCTTGTTGCTCCTGTTCCATTTGTTTTGATGGCCCTTTGCTGGCTCACTGACAGGAGACGTGCTCTCTGTGCCCTCTGAGAAAACAGCAACGCAGTAGAATCCTGGAGACTCATTCACCATCAGGGGAGGCCTCTGCAGGAGGAGGGTTGTCTGTCTGCGCCACGCTCATCCAGGAGGATGACCGGCCTACCGGCTGAGACAGACACATTCTCTCCATTCCTCCCTCGATCTCTCCCTTTCTTTGGTGTCATGACTCAGTCACGTTCCCTCTTAAAACACACAGTTTACCCCCTCCTCAGCCTACCCTCTTTCGATTCCAGCACAGTCTGTCTTCCTCTGTCCTGTGTTTCTCCCTGTTGTAGTAGCAGGTGTAAGACCTGCCAGAAACATGTCAGGGACCTGCTCATTACTCTAACTGTTAGGCTGGCTTTGTTTTACCACTGTGTGTAGTGTCACCCCCTTTCATCTGGCCACTTGGTACATCAGCTCCCCTCTCTGACCCTCCCCTCAATCGTTCTCTTCATGGCCCTCTCCTCAGACTGAAACAGGACTGATGAAAAAATTATGGCAACACAAATGCATTCTTGTAAACAATTTGAACGGCTTGTACGGAAGGTAATTTCTTTTTTAAGAATCGATATTTCAGTGTCAAGACACTTATTTTGGAAGTATGAATTATGCCCTCAAATACTAAGATAACACGCCAAGATTTTGGCATTATTATTTGATAGATGATCCAACAGAGTAAGGGTCAGTGATTGTCTATATAAGCCAGTCTACTTCATAGACTTGTGATGTATTAACTCGATCATGAAAAGGCTGAATATCAGGGTTAAAGCCAATATGGAGCAGTCACCTGTACACTGTCCAGCACCATTCCCATCCCAGCCAGCAGGTAAGGAAACAGCACTTGGAGACCGATGAACATGTTGGAGACCGATGAACATGTTAGACTCCTCTTCTTTTTTTTCCTCCACCACCTTCTTGATGGGCTGGATGGTGGAACAAGCTCCCCCACGACGCCAGGACAGCGGAGTCACTGACCACCTTCCGGAGACACTACCTCTTTAAGGAATACCTGGAATAGTATAAAGTAATCCTTCTTCCCCCCCCCAAAAAAAGGTGGTTGTCCCACTGGCTATAATAAGTTGAATGCACCAATTTGTAAGTCGCTCTGGATAAATGATGTAAATGTAAATGGGGCAATAATGGCAGCTCATCTTGCCCATCTAAGGTGTATGCATTGGGGCTGGCACTGCCACCTTGGCCTTTCCTCTTCCTCTGGCGTGCCTTCCAGGTGGTGGTGTCTTACACTGAAGAGAGAACACAAAGGTCATCAATAATCTAACATAACACGCACCAAACCAACAAACCTGTTTGCTACACTAATATGTATTGCACTGGCATGCTCCAGCATGACCGCAACTGTCAACCCTGCGAAACATAAAACCTGACCCCTTGCCTGTTTCATAATGTTGTAGAGCAGGGATATTCAACTGACGGCCCGTGGGCCAGATCCATTTAGTAATTTACAGGCCCTTTGAGCAATTCTGAACATTAATAAAATATCTGGAAAAAAATCCCAGCCAAAATGACGAGTACTATGGTGGTTTTCTATAGAGTTGTTTCTAAGCCTATGTGGCATGTTGATTCTTTTTTCGGCTCTAGCGTTTGAATGGTTTAAGCTACAAAATATTATTCCTGAAAGCTACGACTGAGGAACACGTGTGTCTTCTGTTTCCCTCTCTGAGACTCACAAGGACTCGTCAGAAGGGAGTGGGACAAAACACACCTAATGACTGAGGGAAATTAATTCAAAGCATACTTCCTTCAGACTGGAATTTGGCATGACCTAATTTGACATATCTTTGTGTTATTTGAGATGCTTAGATTTCAGATGATTTTAAAATGACCTAATTACTTAAGCTTTTAATAGTTGTTTAAATTAAACAAAATAATGGGGAGCGTTGCTCTGTTTCCTTTCCAATGATGATCACATTTTTTGGTTGCACCTCGACTCCACTTCTTTCCTAATTACTAAAAGTGCTTTGATGGTTGTGCGTAGCTTTTTTTATACAGTTCTTCTGACGAATAATGGCATGTGGAAAATGTCCAGACACCCCTGCAATGAACCTTTTTTTTTTTTTTTTTTACACACATCTGGCCCCTGTAAGACTATAGAGCCATTGAGGGGTTGGTTGCTTAGCAACAAAACCAATGCTTGCTCAACCGTGGGGCAAAACAGACCGGGTTGGCTTAGATTGCTGACATCTAAACTATATTTCTGCTCCAATGTTTATTGAAAACATACATTTGCACAATGAGCACTTGTTTCTCAAATACATTGTTACAGTTGGTTAGCTAGGGAATTTTAGCCATATTAGCATTGACATGAAATCAGTCAAAACACCTCAAAACAAGACATGGTATCAAGAACAAGATGAAATTAGCTGAAAATAGTCACTTATGATTCCCCACATGGCAGTTTGTCATTCTTGGTAGCCATCTGGCCATCCAGAATCACAACTCATGGACTTCTGCACCATTGAAGTGCACGCAATGCTTTCTTGACATTGTCAGCCAACCCATCTATTCTGAACAAAAATATAAAACGCAACATGAAACAATTTC